GACAACACTTAAAATATTACGATATCCAAAATCTGACGCTGCCCAGCCCTCGTCTATTGTAACATTCAGCCCGTCTCCTAGAAATGACATTCATGTACAACTAATTTGAAATAACAAATATATTTTGTGAGAAACGTAATGCTAATGAAATTACATTTCCTATTACCGAAAAACTTCAGTTAATAGCCCAGGCTATTATTTGCTTAACCTCCTGAGACCCTGTGTCCTCATATGAGAACATCTCATTTTGGGTTTACTTGACCTTATACTTCATTCTACTTTACGTAGGCCAGTTGTCCTCGTTCGTGGATACTTTTTTTGCCCTCTAGTGTTAGGATGAGCACAATACACTAATTCATGTAACAACAAGATGGCAGCCATCTCTGCCACGTCAGTCTGCAGCCGAACCCAGACACAAATGTGGACAAGGTCCAAAACCTGATCATATTTGATGGTTGAAACTTGTTTATTTTTAATTAACAATATTTGTAGTTTGATATGGCAACAGAATTGACCAACTTTAGCAACAGTAATAAGTTAAGATGCTGCTAATTAAGAAGTACTTGTTTGAAGACATAAAGAATTTATCATCAGCTCGTTGAAGGACATTGGGACTTTATTATCATTGACAATGTTTAGTTTTTGATACTTATCAGGTCCTAAATAAGAATAAAAAATGCAAACCGAACAAAAGTTTGGGTCTCAGGAGGTTGTATCACTGAAATCAACTATATTTGGGACAGGCCTTTAATTCCTTTCACACAAATCTGTTGCTCAGCAAAGATGGGAAATACAATCAATTGTTTATTCAGACCAGTATGAATGTTACTTGTTTAAAACATAGTGTTCAGATAATATATAAAGTATGAATCATTCATTTGATCCAGCTCCGACAGACAGCACATTAGAGACAGTGAGTTACGGCACTCGAGGATTATGGCACCCGGCATACTGACACACCACCCCTTTATCCTGTTAAAACAATACTCACAACTTGGATTAACCCTTTGATTCTTTTGATCTGAGGACCCTTACGGACTAAAGGAATATGAATAATTTACAGGTTATTCAAGGGACGGACACATAATTTGAGGTAGCCAACAACCTGTTTTTATACATCTGAAGAACTTCTATTGAAAAAAATGAACTGCTTGGCAACCAGACCAGGCCTTTAATTGAGACAGGTGTTTATTTGTCTAAATGTGTAGCCACACCAGGCTAGTAAAAGAGACTGGGCCTTTAATTGGGACTAGGCTGTTAATGGAAGTTGTAGGGTAACATAATGCGGATTTGTTGCTAATACATGTACCTGGCAAGTTGCAAAAATGCTGCTACTGAACGTATTACTGGAAAATATGAAGTATTCACTCATAGCGCCTTCAGCATTGTATTTTTCATCACCTTTTTATCAACATTTTACAAAATCAGGACGTTTCCCTAACCTTGACCAAAGTGCATTTGTTGCCTAAACCTAAGAAAGAAGTCTGGACGTGAACCCAAAGTTCTGGGATCACCTGCCACCTCCTTGGGAAGACTATGTCATACATGGATATAGCATTTTGTTTCCTGACAGAGGCGTTGTTCCTGAACGTAATCCAGGCACTTATTTAGTTGCCACAATGACATATGTAAGAAAGCAGTTTAGTAACACGTGAACGTAATTTCTAGGATACAAGGTTGTAACATTTGCGGAGCTGTGATACAGAATTTCTAACTTCAGTACAATGTCTTGAAAAATATCAATATTTTTAATAATAACTGATATTGAGGGCATACCACTTAAATTTTTCTTAAAAAATAAATATAACAAGACTAGTTTTCATGGTTAGTAGCAGACAACAGCAGATTGACTGTTAACATTAATAATGGGAGACAGCAAGAAAGCACAGCTTGTACAGGTGTATCAGTTTCGCTGAAAATCATCATTGAAACCATTTAAAATATTCAGTATATATGTATTTATAAGTTGACATTTTTGACATCACCAATTAACATACACCATAGTAATAAAAACGGGGGCTCAGGCTTGTCAGAATGTTACTCATTCATTCACTAAATAAAAGAGAAGCTAAACAAAACCAAAATATGTTGATCCTCCCTTCTGAGATGTTGGAACCAGATAATATTTGGTATTTTGCTTTGATAAATGACTTGTGGCTTATTTTTTGTCCATTTAATATTTATCACCTAATTGTAATTTTAATGAATTGTAATGAGTTTTGGAAATTAATTATGAATAATTATGATCATTATGAATCCTAGTTTGACTGACAGGCCATTTGACGTCTGAAACATGCAGTTTATTCCACGCAGGTGTGTGATTGGTCCTTAAAATTACTCAGTGATTAACGTCCCACCATGCTTAGCATTGTGTGTAAAATCCCTAGGCAGACCCAGTTGCTCATTATTTTGGCTCCTGTGGCTCAAAGAAGAAATGTGTGGCTTTTATAGAGGGCTGATTGTTGAAGTAGGCTATATTTCGCTGGAGCTTCTGTGATGTACGTTGTTTGACTTAATGATGTTTCCCAATTGGAAAATGCGGCTAAGGTGTTGATGGCATGAAAATATGTTGAAACGACATAACCACCTGGGAAGTACAGGCGCATAATAGTCCTCGACTGTGAGGTTTGTGCATTATTTCCAGATGCATGAAAGGGAAAAAAAAAGCAGACAAGGCTCCATGAATCAACTCACCACAAATGTCTGTCTGAGGTGTAAGAAGGCAGCTTGTCACAAGAAATTTAGGGAGCAATATTATGGTGGAACTGCATCGCGTAAAGCCCTTATTATACGTAAATTACCTTCTTTACACAGCAGGTTGTGCAAGAACAAAAGCAGAAAAACCTCGGATGGTTAGATGAGTCACAGTTCACCCTGTTCTGAACCAGTGGTTGACTACATGTGTGTCACACATGAAAAGAAATCCATTCACCCAAGTGCTTATTTCCCACAGTGAAGGCTTCTGTCAGAGCTGTTCTGGTGAGTGGTCTTGGCATGGTTTACATCCATTTGGTCCCCTTAGCAGGCAGGTAAATGCCAAAACTACAACGTCTGTCGGGGTGATCACATTTCTAACGCTTTGCTGTTTCTGTCCTCAAACAGCAGAATATTACAAGATGACAAACCCCAATTCGCAGGCCATGACGGGTCTCTGAGTTGTTTGGTAAGCACGAAAATTGTGTTTACCACCAGTAACGATAATGGTCACCACTTCTCAACCGAGCAGAGCACTCCACTGTTTCTACAAACACTGTTTCTGACCACCTTTAGGATTAAAATGGTGGAGCTTCTTCCTGCATTTCTCCAGTTTAGCTCACGGTTTTTGTCCAGAACTTAAATCTTAGTGAAGCATCTCAGGTGACTCATGCTGACCCAATGCCCTATTGAGACACTTACTAGTGTGTGGCCTTAATTTTGGCAGTTACAGCACCAGCGTATTACGGTGCACTAAAATAATCCAGACCTGGAACTGAATGCAATGCCAATTTAAAACATCACTGTAAAAGCACAGCTGCAGATACATTGTTAGGGAGCAGTGTTTTTTTTTCTGCATGGACGAGGCAATACATATTGTACTACAGACTATATCATATGTTGGTGAGAACGCCACTTGTAACTTGACATTTTTATACACTGAATTACCATTTTTCTCTAAGTTTTCAGACATTTAAAAAGCTCAGTGATGCTAAGGAATAAATGGTCTGATGGGTAACAGGCACTAATCTTCCCAACAGAACCCTTAGCTTAAACGCCTATGCAGCATTTAAGATGCTTCAGTTCACCATTTAATCATCAAACTCCCAACCCAATCAGGCAGGCTATAGGTGAAATATAATAGTCACGCTTATGTATGCATACAAATACTGTGATAACCAACCCTAAAAAAAAAAGGCAGCCCCATTCTTGAGCACTCCGACAGTGTCCTTCATTTTACAGGCAGGTTGTAAAAACGCCAGATGTGCACATGAAAGTGTACACTTGAGGACAAACCGGTTCAGGTTTAAGTGGAATGCTTTTTGGCTGCAGCAGCATGAGCAATTTCAGATGTGATGTCTGCTCCAAATGCAGCTCCCTCTGCCCATTTCAGCCAACACACAAGTATTTTCAGCATCAAGGCATTTCAGCACCTCCCACTGATGGACAGCTCCTATTCACATTTTCACAAAAAAAAAAAAGAGAGAGAGAGGCTGTATTGCCGAAGCAACAACTCCAGGACATGACAGTTTAAATTCTAAAATGTGCCCTGTACTTCTGGTTAACCTGCACACACTGTGGTAGGGAGAAATGACAACCTCATTCTTGAGTATCACCCATGGGTGGCTTTGCTGGGGTTTTGCAGACATACTGGGTCAACAGGCAGAACCACAGAGAGAGAGGGAGAGAAAGAGGAAATGTGTACGAGGCGTGTGCGTGAGCAGATTGTGTAAAATAAAGCCTGACCTGAAGCTTTTGCTTTTGCCATATTCCCACTCAAAGCGCCCTTCCTGAGGGCCAGCCTGCCCACCTGGCCAATCCGGCGTTCTTTTTGCTGCAAACGTGTATGCTGAGAATACCTGAACTGAATTTGAATTACCATATGACGTAGGCCTTTTTCTAGCAGTAATGTCCTGCTGGCAACAGGGACTACCACGGACCCATACAGTCTCAACCAAGCGCTCAAACACACAATTTGTTGCACCAGCCAACCCCCCACACCTCCTCACCCCCTTTCTGTCCCTATCCATCTTTATCTCTATCTATATCTCTCTATATATATCTCACACACACATACAGAAACACGCACACTCGAAAGAGGATGCGACAGCTATCATAACCTACCTACAGAGATGGAAAAGGGACATTTTAAAAAATAGAAAAAGTATCTTTCTTTGCGTTGAAGTCTGTGAGCCAAGCACAAATCACGGCTTAAATGGCGATGAATCGGGCTGCACGGGAACATACAGCAGCACAGCACTGAATGGGCTCAAATGGACTGAATTCAATATGAAAAAAATACTTACGCATTTTCTCGAATAAATGAAATCGAGGTTGAGAGCAGTGGAGGAAAAACCAGCAGGGCCCCGGTCCCCGTTTTCAAGATGTGCAGCACGAGCGAGGCACAAATCTCCATGTGAAAGGGATCGGAGGCTGCTGCAGTCCGCGTCTCTCTCGATCACAAGTCAAGATGCTCGCCTGCGAAAAATGCCAAACATTCAGAAAGAGTTGCGTGGATCTGCGGTGCGGCCACCATTCCCTCGGATGTAATGAGCGCCGATGAAAAGCCCCCTCTGAGGACCAGTAGCAGCAACCCCCCTGGACTTGAAGATATTCCTCTGGACCGAGGAGGAGGAAATCCTGCAGAGTTTTTGATGGGGGATCAAGTCTGTATAGGCCCTTATGTCCCCCCTAAAACCAGTCACAGTCCAAAAAATTGACTCCCACCGGTGGTTTTCCTCTTTGACAAATCGCTAAATCAAATTCCACCAACAAAAAAAAAAATAAGAAAGAAATACAACCAAAGTGGACTAATAATTTTTGGATGTAGCAGTCAGGCTGGTTTTCACGCCGATCATCCCCAAAACAAATGGATAAGATCAGTGGACGGACTTGACAATGAATTACCTATTTAAAGCATTGTTGATAAGGTCAGCGCAGAAAGGGGTGCAGAAGCGTCCTACAAAAAAAACCCTGAGAACGCCTATTGGATAAAATTAAGGGTATCCGTCCCACTGCAACCATCACACGCGTCGCATCAGGACAAATAGGTTGCCATAGGCTGCTCTAAAAATCGCAGAGCATATGGCATACAGTATTTTCTATCAAGTAGAATGGGAAGAATCCACGGGATGCTATTTTACCCCCCCCACAGCAATCCGGTGTATTGATTACATAAGCGCAGCTATTAGTAATAATTCCGCTTGTCAGGGAGAGTGTGTCCGATCCGGGTGGTGTGGCAGCAGCAGCATCCGTGTGTTGCAAATAAAGCGGGGTTTTTTTTCTGCCACCGGCTCCTAATGGTTCCCCCGCTCGCTGCAGTCCATGACTTGAATAGCGAGCACGTTGAAATCACGGTCTCCAGGCACAGAGCTGCCGCGCGCGCGTCACGTGTGTGTATGTGTGCGAGAGCGAGTGTGTGCGTATGTGTGGTGAAGTGTAGGTAGGTGCGCGCGTGTGTAGGCGTGAGCGTGTTCCTGTATCGCCCAGGGACCACTTTAACTTTGACCACTTTGCCTGCGCGTCCATCTGCCCATTTAAATCACCCAGCGGTCGTTAATTATCAGGGATCAATCGCATTAACGCATAAAGCCCAGATCTGATGTCTCTGAGTGTGCGTTTGTGTGTGTGTGTGTGTGCGTGCGCCCATGCGCGTGCACGCGTGATTCAATTGTTGATGAGGTATGGTTGCCACCTACAGGCGTTAGTCTCTATCCAGTCATCCAAAACGGGCCATTTCCACAGTCTGCATCCACAAATAAATTCACATTCAACATGTAGAGGTCCTCTCAGCTCTCCTCCACATTAATAGAACAGAGAATGTGCCTGTGTCCACCATGTTAGAATCACCTGTACAGGCAAACATGACATGCTTTGGACTTGCTGGAACATTACATTATTTCACCACCTGCTATCTTCAATGAGCATGTTTACGTGCAACTGATTCATTACTTTTTACCTATGCTGTCAGAAGCAAAGTAACCTAGGCAACCTCTCCATGGCTGAAACCCTCTTAGTGATTTCCTTTAAAGACCACGGTCATATACAGACAAAACTTCATCCACTGCAAGGACTAGCTAGTGTGTAAGACGGGTTGGCACTTAAAGGTAAGGAGGTTTAGTGACTTGCAGACCTTCAGACAGACAAGTGAGTGCACATTCATTTCATCTGAGATGAACAGTGTGTCTCATTAGACGACATAATGGACCACAAGTCGGCTACGTGACAGATTGGCTCCTGGTCAATGAGGCCACGCTGCTTTATGAGATTGAGAAAGAACGAGAGAGAGAACAAAGATGAATATAAATCAGTCCAGGATTGTATTACATGTTGTTTTGATTGCACACAAAAAATCCAATGAGAGCTGAGTGAAAGCCTATAGTTAATTTGTCACCTGAATAAATTATTAGAGAAACAAGAAACAATAAATGGAAATTAGGGGTCACTGAATGGTTTGATTAGTATGAAAATGATCTTAATTGCATGCTGTGGCCTCAGCAATTACCTGAACCCAGTTGGTTACTTTATTTGAAATGATGCATTAGACACTGCTTCTCACCACCATCATCAAACACCAAATGAAGAAACTCGGGTGGCATCTAACTATTCTCATTATTTTCCGGAATAATCTTTTTGTCAGAAAATGGAGAAAAAATGTTAAAGTTTTCCAAAGCCTTTAAAATGCTCATTTTGTCTGGCAAACATTTCAAACCCCAAAGATTGGACTTTGAAAACCAGCAAATACCCACATTTGAGAAGTCATGACAGGTGAATTTGTGGCACTTTTTGCACAACTCAAGCCACAGTAGTGGCTCTATGACAGTGTTTCTCAACCAGGGGTTCAGGGCCCTCCAGGAGCCCTCAAGGGAGTTCCAGCCGGTCCCAAAAAAATTTGGAAATTGTATATTATATAGTTTAGAGTGTCGAAGGCAGGGTGGAAGGCCCCCTGTGAGCCTGTCGAAGTGGGCTGCAGAGTCTTCGCAGGGCTATCTCTTCACCAGATCCTGGGACTGTTAGGGATCTGCGGACAGCAGCGACGAAGAGCCGTCGAGAACATCTTGGAAGCCGCTGAAAGGCTTCTCATTGGCTTCATCAAGAGGGGTGATGAGTGGTGAAGTAAGCTATCTGGACACAAGTCGGGGCCTGATGTCTGATGTTAAGACCCAAAACACCCTTTGACCGCAGGTTCATCACTGACGATGTGTCCAGGTTGCCCCGGGAGGTGTATCACATGACATTTTTCAATATTTAATTCACCACAGGAGTGAGCCCGATGTGAGTAAAGTCCTGTTCCCAGAGGACATAAAAACCTCTGAGGTGGGATTTATACCTATGCATCAAATCAACGCCTTACCTGTGGTACATTGTGAGCAATTATACTTGTGCTTTGGTGTTTCAGCATCGCTGTGATCACACTGCCAGACTGTTAGTTGGCAGCAGGGTCTACATGCCACTGTGTTAAGTATTTCCGTGTCCGTCTTCAGACAACAACTTCATTAAAAATATGGCAACTGAGACTGAGCAGATCCTGTTGGAGCTGAAGCTGATAAATGTTGACCTGGAGTTACTTTGATTGAAAATACCGCAGTCCAGTAAAGAGAGAAGGTGTTGGAGGAGATGATGTGTATGACCGCTGAACGGACTGAGGCAGAAGTACAGTGAATTTTTCTGTGCCTGCCCGGCCACTGAGAGACATGGACGAGGAAATGCATTTCAAGTACTTAATGATGTCGGCAGGTAGATTTGACCGTCTGAAACCATTTATCTCATCAGTCTATGCACAAAATGCCAGTAGACATTAGACAGAGACCGGCAGTCACCCTTTGAGTTTTAGCTTCAGCTGGAAGCTAACAGGTTGTAGCAGCTAGCTACAAACTGGCATCAGCGCAGTGTGCTCCATAATTTCAGAGGTCTGTAAAGTTTTTGCAGCCATAGTTTCTTCCTTCAGTTGCGAATGGGAAGCTATTGCAGCTGATTTTTGGTGACTGTGGAACTTTCCAAATTGTATCGGCTGCATAGATGGCAAATATGTGAAGATCAAGGCACCGCCACATGCTGGGAGTGACTAAAAGGGCGCACACTCTATTGTCCTGATGGTGGATGCTGGGGGATATGGACACCCACAAACATCTGTCTTTTGTATGTAATGGGAAAGGTTACAATCGGCATCACACCCGGGTCAAATGACTCTGCAGTAGTCGGGGATATATATTGGCTCTGGTTCTGATTGGCAGTGATGGAAATGCAACATCTGAGTAAATGCACTATTTTTAGTCCCTTTACCAGCAAAATACAATGACACGCCACCATAAACACAGTCCATCTCCACCCAAGCAGCGCTCAAACATCATTCCAAACTGAAAGAGAGACTTATATAACTATCAGTAAGACATTAAAAGAACTAACCACCGTAACATTTTCACTGGCCTCCATGCTGCTATATGTTCTCCACTTACTGGTTCCAGCCTGTCCATGAAGTCAAACATAACACACCAGTAAAAAAGAAAATAGAAAGGCATGCTTGTCTGCAGGCTCTGGTCTACTGGCAATGGGAAAGGAGTCTGTAGCCTAGTTTTACAAGGTTTGTTTGAAAAAACCTGCGCACACATGCTGATTTGGGTGGAAAAAGGGTTATAAGAGTTATAAGAGTGACTACTCTGATCATGGGTTTCACTGCCTTCACTGTTATTTCCTCAACTGTAGCTGACAGCTATACAATTCTAGTGTAAGTCGTATCTAACAACCTAAATCTTTTTCAGATGGAGGTCCCTGAAGCAAAATCATATTAAATGGGGGTCCATGACCTAATGTGTATCAATTTAGGGGTCGTTGACATGATAAAGATTGACATCAATTGCTCTATGAGGCTGTAATGGTCATTGGGAAGATAAAATGTTAGATTGGTTAGATAAACCAAATTGGATGACCTGATATTTTGACCTTTATGAGAAGCCAGGGGATAAACAAAAATCAGAAAGACTATTGATATGCACCAAATTGCATGGCAATTTATCCAACATTCACTGAGATGTTTCCGTCAAAACAAGGCATGCCAACCTACTAGTCCGTCCGTCCATCCATCCATCCAGCCATCCAGCCATTCATCCATCCATCCATCCATCCATCCATCCATCCATCCAGCCATCCATTTTCAAACCCTTGTCCAAAGCCGGGTCATGGGGGCAGCAGGCTGAGCAAAGTATTCCAGATTCCCCTCTCCCCAGCAACACTATCCAGCTCCAACCTACTAGTGGCACTATGAAACTACAAGTGGGTGGGAACATAAATGTCTGAAGCAAATTTTTTGCTGTTCCATTCAATAGTTGACCGAGCAACAGACCAAGGTTGATATCCCTACAGCTTCATGGCTAGTGTAGCTAAAAAATAAATTATCAATCAGTTTTTGAAATACTTGCGAATTAATTTTCTATTTCAGCCACAGGGAATATCTATTGGAAGAATGGCGTTCAGTAAAATTCAGAATCTTTTGGCCTTAAACCTTACTAAGACACTTCTTTAATTCATCTTCCACATCTGTTTGTCTGTCTATGCATCTATTAATCCATCCACTGTATCACACACATGAGTTTTTGAATTACAATGTATACCCACTCACTCATCTAGAATACAGTTTGCTTAAGGCTGGGAGCTATACTCTGATGCATTCATTCAGTGTATAATGAAAAACTAAGTTTTATATACAGCTGGGATGAAAATGTGTGCGTTGGAGGATCATAATAAGAAATAAGATTATAGAAAATTGAATTTCTGACTGAACCAACGTCTGAGTCTCAACCTTAGAACTAAAGCTCAACTCTGTCCCCATGTGTCTAATTATCATTGTTAAAAACTCTGCCACTAAATGTCCTGTGAAACACAACAGACAAACTACTTGTGAACTGATTTGCCATGACACAGCACAATGAGCAGTCTTAATTTGGTAGACAAAACAGAATCTGACACTGGTTCATGAATTCTTCAGTCCCCTTTTTAGTCATTTAACCAGCTTTAGTGTCTTGAAGTGAAAGCAGTTCCTACACTCCCCTAAAACATTTTAGTGCCTTTTCAACATCTGTGAAAGTCAAAACTTTCCTCCTCATGCATAACTAAAAGGATAGCTTGTTAAAACAAAAGGCAATTTCACATAGATTAAATATAATCCTGGTGTAAGAAGCTAAATCAGTGGGAATCTCATCTGAGAGAATTTTCGGATTCCAGGTGCACAAAAGTGGATCGTGGTGGGTTTCACATGACCTGTAGCGAGGCATAATTGGACTTTACTTCACTATCATTTTTTCATACGCTGCATTAATGTGTCTGCATTAATGTGGTAACACTTACATAACTGTGGGAGACTTTCACAGTCTCCCCTACAAAACACGAGAGATACATTTGATATATTTCCTGTTATCAGCATTTTATTCACGCTTTGATGAAATATGAATTTTAATTCCTGGATATCTCCTGAGCAGAAAAATTAAAAATAAAAGTGCACAGAACAAGGGGGAGGGATGCACACCCCGCGCTGCTGTAAATGAAAGCCTCAGCAGATCTGCACAATCAAATCAATGTCAA